CCAGGTCTTCGAAGGCCTAGCAGCAAAAACCATTGTCATATTCGGAATCAGCATAGTCGATAACCTATTCTCCACTAGATTTCAACAAAAAAGCGAGCGGACACTTGGGGCAGTTCCCTCGTCAGTGTAACAGCACTACCATATTTACACGTTTCTCAATTCTCACCCAAATAGTTTCATGAAAGAAAATTATTTGTAAAAGTATTTCTACTTCCTCTGACCTTGTAATGCTCTGCCAAGATCTGAAACTTTTGACGATCTCGCCGTACTTCGTCGCAATAGATAATCAATCAAAATGATCTAAAATAAGAGTGGCGTCTCTCTTTCCCTCTCAGCTCAACTTATCAGCTTGCTTTTTAGTGGACAAAAACAGTGCCGGCAGAGTTCAAATTTCATTTTTTCGCTTTTTCCTAGCAAATATCGCTGCTTCTATTAATAAGCCGTGTTCGCTATGTCCATCACCCAAACATCTGAAATCGTGTTCAGATTGTACAGAAACACTCATCAACAAAACTCAACAAACCTGTAGTATGTCTTGTAAATGCAAAAATGGTTATGGTTCCTGGACAAGAAGTAATGTCACGTGGACCGGTCATTGTGAGCTTATGAACAATTTTGACCAATTAACTTGCATTGCAATTTATGCCGACCGTTGCCCTCCACCACAAACACCAGCAACAACAGGGACGACAAAAAGAATGAGAGCATCCAAGACAACATTAAATGAAACAGAAGTAGCTACTAAATCTACTGATGGTGAGATATGTCAGTTGGCACATAGAAAAGAATGTCTTCGAAGGATGAGAAAAGGCTGTGGAAAGAAATACTGTATAAGGCTTACAATTAGAGAGAAAAACTTTTTCATTTTCATTAGAGCTCTAGTCGGTTTCATTCAATGGGACGACTTTCTGTTTATTGAGTTCGTTTATGACAGACGCGGTTTGGAGAGAGAACGTTCAGCAGGTTCAAACATTTTTCATCAGGTCTTGCAAAATGTCAACGGAAGGAAACTAGTTCTGTAAGACGCGATAGCGCGGAAACTTATTGTCCGATAGTTTTATAAAAAGCTTTTTCTTTTAATCAAAAGCACTGATATTTCGAGATTCAGTTCAATTACATAAGTTGAATTTTTTTATTTGCCATTTCTTTTCAGAGCCATATGTCTAAGCAAGCAGAGAACTTGCTCTTCCAAATTCTTTTAATATTTCTATTATTTCAGGTTCAAAAAGTTAGCCTCAGATTGCCAACTCCCTCCCTCGGAGTAACTTGTGAAACTTTACTTTATTTGTTTCAGGACCAATTGTTTCAACTAGCCTCCATACAACAACTATAGGCACTACGGTTGTTAATTTGTCTACTTTACTAACAATCCCAAAATACTCGCTACCGCCACACAAACGTCAAGGTGCAATATTCGATATCGAGCGTCAGTCCAAATACACAGGTGAAGTGAACGCCAGAAATGAGCCCGACGGAAAGGGCGAATACACGTGGTCTGGAGCTAAATTCGAAGGAGAATTTAGAAATGGTAAGTTTAATGGCCGTGGAAAGTTAGTATATCGCGGCGGAGATGTTTATGTCGGGCAGTGGAAAGACGATAAACGGCATGGTGTGGGAAAAATGAATTGGACTGATGGCAGATTGTATGAAGGTGGCTGGATCAACAACGCCGAGGAAGGATATGGAGTGAAAAAATGGAAACGCGGTTCACGGTACGAAGGTGCTTGGGTCAATGGCAAGCGAATTGGTGAGGGAGTGTATACTGATGCAGACGGTGATCGATATGAAGGTACTTGGGTCGGCGATAAAAAGGAAGGAAACGGTATTTTTACGTCGCCCGGAAAAGGTCGATACGAAGGTGAATTTAAAAATGGAACTTTTCATGGTCGTGGAACACGTCAAAATGTCGAAGGAGATATGTACGAAGGGCAGTGGAAATACGGTCAGCGAGATGGTGTAGGTACCCGCACCTGGTCAAATGGTGATAGGTAAAAGTTTAATTTATAGCTTCTCTACTGTCAGGCAGAAACGGCAGTTATTTGATAGCTGTGAGATTCCTAATTCCTTTCCGAGTATTCCTTCTCACGACCGTGTGGAGAGATAACGAACCAGCACACAGTGGGCAATTTTTGATAGGCATGTGGACATTTGGTTTTAAAGCATTCTAAGAACCTCAAAAAACTATTTTTATAGGTTTTCGTATATGCTCTTTCCATAGGAGTGCTTTTCAGACCTTTAAAGTATTTCAAACTGGGTTTTCTAGAGATCATTGGGTTTCTAGAGGCTAAAATGGCCTTTAAGATGCCTATTTTTTGTGAGAAAATTGTTTTTCTAGGTTTTCCAGTATGCTGAACTCTAATTTAATGAAAACGTTTTTTCAGAACCTTGCAGAAGGTTTTCTGGAGATCCAGGGCTCTGGAAAACCTTTTTTTTCTGAAAATCAGAGCGAAGTGTTTTCTATCTTCTAGAAGATGCTCATTACGATGCTGCCGTGTGAAAAACACTTTGTCACACTCTGCTTAGTACCCACCACCACCCCTTGATCGTTTTTTAATGTTACGAGTCAAGTCATTAAGCGTCTTTTGCTTACTTTAGAGCCTTCAAAACAGAGTCAGGCGCTTTATTTCACTGAGTTTACGACCTGATTTGGCTGAAAAATATTTAAAAAATATAACTTAAAATATTCATGCACATGCTAAAAGTAAAAAGACTAAAAGATAAATTTAAAATAATTAATTATCTGCCAGTAAACTTTGAAATAAACTATCGTCTTCATTCTGACAAGTGAAGACTATTTTTTCTTTTCTTTTTCGTTGTGACCATGAATGTTGGACGGTGTAATTAATGACAGGATCACTCCGAAGGAATAATCGATTAAAGACATCCGTGAGATTTTCAATGTGTCCGCATTTGCGAGCAAGAAATTCTCTAAAATTACGGATGTCTTTGTTGCAACTTTCGAGAGCTTCTTCAGATAACTCTCCGAGTCTGGTAGAGTTGTTTCTTTGAATCAGCTCAGCAGAATGGAAGATCAGAGAGTGAACTGTGATTGAATAGTCCACCCAATGAAAATCTTTTGTTATTAAGACTGCGAAGTCCATCGTCAGCTGTTTAGATTTATCAACATTAATTATTTCAGTTGACGAAATAACACGAAGTATTACAGAGTAATACTGCAAGAGTTTTTTGAAAGTGTCTCGATAATTCGATGGAACGCTTTCAACAACAGCATTTCTCAGTTCGAAGGAAAAGACACTTCGACCTTGGCCGCCAGTAGCGGAAGTACCGGAATTACCCGTCGCATCCATCTGGTCTAACCGAAGGCCAGTTTTGGTTTCAATTTCAATCAGAACTGCAGTTCGTGCTTTTTTAATTAGATCTTTTATATTACCTCTTTCACTCCAGTTTAAAACGTTAGCACGAAGGTGATAAATGATTTTCAGTATCCAAGTTACTCCATTTATATACTGATGTGTAACTGTGATATAATGGTTGTCTAGACTAGACAAAGGTTCA